AAAATTTCTCGAAAGAATACAATTATTTTTAAAAATATTAATTAAATTCAATTATTTTCAAAAATTTTAATAAAATTCTTTGGAGGAATTCAATTATTTTCTTAAATAATAAAATTTCTCGAAAGAATGCAATTGTATTTTTTTTCTTTTATATTTTTAAAAATATTAATTAAATTCAATTATTTTCAAAACTTTTAATAAAATTCTTTGGAGAAATTCAATTATTTTCTTAAATAATATAATTCTTCGGGGAATTCAATTACTTTCATAGATAATAAAATTCTTCAAAGGAATTCAGTTATTTTCAATACAATTTTAAAAAAATTTCTCTAAGAATACAATTGTTTTTAAAAATATTAATTAATATTGATTAATTTCAACAATGTTGATATAATTCTTTAAAAAAATTAATTACTTTTAAAATGATTTAATAAAATTCTTCGATTAAACTCAATTATTTTAAAAATTTTTATTAAAATTCCTTAGAAAAAATTCAATTATTTTTAAAAATTCTGATAATATTCTTCCAAAAAATTCAACTATTTTCATAAATAATCAAATTCTTCGAACGAATTCAATTATTTTCTTAAATAATAAAATTTCTCGAAAAACTACAATTGTTTTTAAAAGTATTAATTAAATTTAATTATTTTCAATACGATTTTTATAAAATTTCTCTAAAGAATACAATTATTTTAAAAAATATTAATTAAAATCGATTATTTTCTATAATGTTGATTTTTTCTTTAAAAAAATCAATTATTTTTAAACGTTTTAATAAAATTATTCGATTAAACTCAATTATTTAACAAAATTTTAATAAAATTTCTCAGAAAAAATTCAATTATTTTTGAAAATTCTGATAAAATTCTTTAAAAGAATTCAATTATTTTCATAAATAATAAAATTCTTCGAAGAAATCCAATTATTTTCATAATTTTTAATAAAATCCTTTCAAAACATTCAATTATTTTCAAAAATTATGATAAAATCCTTCGTAACACTTCAATTATTTTTATAAATTGTAATAAAATTTTTCTAAAAAATTCGGTTATTCTAAAAAATTGTTGATAAAATTCTTTGTAAATTTCTATTATGTTTCAAAAAATTTTAATAAAAATTATTAAAACAAAACTACATTATTTTCACAAAATTTAAAGAAATTCTTCAAATAAATTTACTCTCTAAATCTGAATATGTGAAATTTCACTTATTGTACGTTATAAGTCGTCCTCTCGATCAATAAGTGCATATACACTAATAAATAAGTGAATTTTTCACTTATTCTGAGTGAAATTTCACTTATTATAAGTGTATATGCACTTATTGATCGAGAAGACGACTTATAACGTACAAATATGTGAATTTTCACATATTCAGATTTAGAGAGTAATAATTTATGAAAACTAATAAAATTGTTAAAAAGAATTTAATTTTATATCAATAATTTTAATAAAATTATTAATTAAAATTAATAACTCACACGATTATTTTAAAAACTTGAAAGATCTTCTTCATAAAATTCAACTACTTTTAAAATTAAAACTCCAGTATTTTCAAAAAAATTCAAATAAATTCTTTAAAACAATTAAATTATTTTTAGTACAATTTTAATAACATTTTTTAGAAGAATTCGATTCTTTTTATAAGATTCAATTATTTAAAAAAATTTTGATAAAATCCTTCTAATGAATTCAATTATTTTCAAATTCTTTTATAAATAGGTACTTTGCAAGAATTCAATGATTTTCAGTTCAATTTCAATTTATTTTTAAAATTGAAAACATTTTAAAAGAGAAATTATTTAAAAAAAAGAAGGTTAGAAACAAAGAAGCAAACAAAACCGAACTTCGAACATATTACCAGAATACAACGATTATTAATATAGATTATAATAGTAATAATTACTACTATTTTTATTTTTATAACTATTGTTATTTTTACTATTACTAATTATTATTTATTCACTTGATTTTATTTACAATTTACCTAAATTTCCCTATTTATATTCTACTTTTTTCATTTTCTTTTATTTATTTTTTATTTACGCATAATTTATTATGCATTCAATAAATAATAAAATTCCCTGAAAAAAAAATTTGTTCAGAAAAAGTTTCATTTTCGAAATAAACTCTATATTTTAAATTTTAAATAAACGCAAACCGAATATAAATAAACAGAAATGAAAAATATTCAAAATCCCAAATTTAAACACACACAGCAGATGAGAATACTGGACCTGAATGATAAAATCTCGAGTTTGAATCTAAGGGGATCGAAGAGGACCGAAAGAGAGAGGGGGGGGGGGGGGGTTTGAAGAGAAAATAAGACAGAAAAAAACGAAAAACTAGACACTCAGTCTCAGAGGATTCAAAATGGATATGGTTTAAAAGTAACTTGCCTCTCATCTCTCTTTTATCTTCTTTTCGCCAAAGGGTAAATGGTACCCCAAGCTTTATAGACTCATAGTCATACATACATATATAGATACGCAGTTTTCTCCAGATGAAGCAAAAAAAAATTTTTCCATGTGTAACGTAAATCAAAAGAAATGCCATAATTTTTCTTTTTTTGCCCGCAAGGAAAATAAAAATCTCTGTCTCTAGTCAAGGCTTATCCTCTAGATACATATAGGTATATACATGTATAACCACTCGAGTAGATAAACCTTTGTCTCTATCGTATGCTCACACACGTGAACACACTAATTATCTATGTAAACGATCTAACGCATATACATTTGCACCGAAACCTATTCCACGAGGATCTGTCGTACCCCAAAAGCCAAAGATCAAGTGGCTTAACTGTGCGGGTTTAAAGTCAATAAACTGATTTTACTTTTGTTGATAGAGCAACCACACTTGTCAATTTCGACAGAAAAAATATGCTTCTACCAACAAATAGTCTTTTTCCTTTTCAGGTTTGTCACAAAAATGTAATTTTGTTTTTCCCTGATTTCCATACGAAATTTTCACTTTTTTTTTTATCCTAAAGAATATTCTGATTCACTCAACAAAATTCTTGGATACTCAAAAAAAATTTCTATTACATTTATTTGGGTAATTCTTCTAAAAGTGCTACTTTTGAACTTCAATTTTTCAATTTATGTTTTTGTTTTAAATTTTTTTATTGAAACTACTGTATTTCATAATCAAGAGTAAGATTTTTAAGTTGCGCAAAAAAACTGAAGACAAAAAAACTTGAAGACAAAAAAACTGAAGACAAAGTTTAAACATTTTTATCAAAAATAACACTGAGTTCTAAAATTTTTTTTAAATGCATATAATCATAGAAAAAACATTGTACTTTCTGAAACTATTTTAAAAAAATTTTTAAGAGTTTGAAAAAAACTGTAAAAATTTAATTTTCTTATACAGGGCCTATTGGAGACATGCTAAAAAGGCTTCGGAGATGAAATTATTTTAGTTACTGCATAAATAATGCAGATAAATAAAATTGGTTAATTTTTTTTAAGTGATAAGTAAATGATAAGCTGAATTTTTACTATGGAAATTGATAATAGTTATTAAAGAGTAGATTTTGTAAAATTAATCAAGATATCAAAAATATCATTTTCAGAAGAATCACTCATTTACGAAATTCTTCAATTGTAAAATTATTCGATAACATCAATAACTTCTTTCTTAAATAAATACTTAATCATTATTATTTTTCCCCAGAAATTAAAATTCTTCAAAACACTCAAATTCAAATCATTTTGAAATTAAACAACTTATAAAAATATTATTATAAAACATGAAGATATTGATTGCTCCGAGTAAAAGTTAATTAAAATTAGGAAAAATTCCGATTTTCAAAGATTTTATTTTTAAACCTTTCAATTTTACGAGAATTTAATTATTTAAATATAAAAATAATTAATTTATTGAATATAAATGTTTCTTAAAACTAATTCCTTAGAAGAATTTTAATAACATTTTTAAAAATAATTACTTTCTTCAAGAAATTTAATTAAAATTGAATAAAAAATAATTGAAATTTCGCTAAGAATTTTATTCAAATTTTTGAAAGTAATTAAGTTTTAGAGAAAAATTCTGCTATTTATACAGATAATTTAATTCTTGTGACGAATATTGTTATTTATAAAAATAATTTAATTTTGTAAAGAATTTTATTAAAATTCCTAATAATAATTACATAATAATAATAATAATTACATTTTTTGAAAGGATTTTAGTATTTATCAAGATAAGTGAATTCTTTCGAAGAATTGTTTTAAATGTTCAACTACAATTTCAACTAAATTGAAAATTGAAATTTTCCAAAAGAAAATTAGTTTTGCAGAATTATTAATTAAAATTATGAAAAATTCAGATAACATCCCGAGGAATTCAATTAAAATTGTTTTGAAAATAATTGAAATTTTACTAAGAGAATTTTATAAATTTTAAAAATTTTTAATTTTGAAAATAACTGAATTTCGGAGAAGAATTTTGTTATTTATAAAAAGTAATTGGATTTTTGACGAGAATTTTGTTATTTATAAAGATAATTGAAAATTTTATTTTGAAAATAATTGAATTTCGGAGAAGAATCTTGTCATTTATAAAAATAATTGGATTTTTGACGAGAATTTTTTTATTTATAAAGATTATTGAATTTTTGACGAGAATTTAAAAAAAATTTTGAACGTAATTGAACTTCTGGCGTAAAATTCAAATTTCATAAAATCAATTACAAAAGAAGGTACACTGAATTTGACCCTTCTTCGTATTTTGCATAATTTCTATTATACAAATTTTATTAATTAATTGAATTTTTGATAATTAATAAATTATTAATTATCAATTAATAATATATATTTATTATATAAATAATTATTAAGAATAGTTTAACACTAACGTAAGAGGACTTCCTCCTTATGACCTTAATTAATTCTTTTTTTTAATTTATTTAAATGTGTGCATATTAGATAATATCGCGAATGATTGATGTTGAGAGAAAAATAAGAAATAATGATAAACAATTTTGTGACTTACCCTTTGAGCTTTTCTCTTATCGGCTCGTTGATTTTGATGATAAATTCGACTGAAATTACTGACGATAACAGGTACGGGTAATGCGATCACAAGCACTCCGCTGAGCGAGCAAACACCTCCAACGACTTTTCCGGCAATAGTTTCTGGCACCATGTCACCGTATCTGTAACATAAATCGAAAACAAATTTAATTAATATCATCAATGACTTTATAACACACCAAGAAATTTATATAAGTATCCATCAATTAAAAGCAAGATTAAACGCATTTGCGCGGCTCGTTAGTAATTAAAACATTTATTTTCCACATATCTAATTTATAAAATAAAAAAGAAAAACAATCAAGCAGTTTCTGTCTCTAGCAAAATTATTATCAGAGAAATATTTATCTTTTATTCTGATTGATAACTTTACATTTATTTATAAATTATTATTTATTTTTTATTATTATTTTCAAAAAAAAATATTTATAAATAAATTTTCAGTTATTTTTTTTTATTTCTTACTTATAAGTAAATTTTTATTTATTTATAAACAAAAAGCAGTTTGCTTTATTTATTTATAAATAATAGTCCTTTACAAATGAACATTTATTTATAAACAATTTTTCACATAAATAAATATTTATTTCTTGGATAAGAAAATAACGTTTATTTTATAAGCAAATGAATAATGTTTACATCTTAGCTAAAAAAAGTAAAGTTTATTTCTTAAGTAAATAAATTACGTTCAGTTTTTGAGTAAATAAATATTGACTTCATGAGTAAATAAATATTTTTACTTCCCGAGTAAAAAAGTATTTACTTCCCGAGTAAATAAGTATTTACTTCTTGAGTAAATAAACATTAACTTCGTGAGTAAATAAATATTTACTTCTTGAGAAAATAAGTATAAAAGAAAAAAAAATTTATTTCCTAAATGAAAAAAAATGTTTACCTACATCTTAAAATGGAAAAATGATTATTTTTTAAATAAATAAACAATATAAAGAAAATAATAAACAAATAAAAATTAAATAAATATGACAATAATAAATAAATATAAAAAAATATTTAAAAAATTTAGTATTCAAAAAATTATCAAAAAAAAAAATACAAAAAATACAAAAAATATTTACAGAAAAATATTCGTCCAACAAAATGAATTCCTTTCTATATTGAAATAAATAAATTATTAAATACAAATTATAAATTACCTTTGAAAACCAATTGCAAGCAACTATATATGAAATAATTTTACTTAATAAAAATCGATGTTTGAAAACTATCAAGGTAATCTTTCCTTTTTTTCCCCCTTTTACGATTCCCAAGACCACGGAGAGGTTCGATAAAGCGGAAAGGCTGCAATATTTACCTGCGCGTGACATTTTACAACAGGGAAAATACTGAATTCGAGGTCAATTTTTCCAGCATGAGTGTAGAAAATATTTTTTTTTTCCCAAAGAATAATCGACCAACCACCCCAACAAACATACACACACACACACAGAAATATATGATATAAAAACCAATCTCCCATGGGTCACATGAATTTGGGCGTAACTGATAAATAACTTCTCAAGTATATAAACCATACACATACAAATATATATATATACAAATATATAAATGTATACAAGTATAGGGAATCGACATTATTTTGTCGCACTTTTCTAACAAAAAAAAAGAAAGTAAATAAATGACTTGTTCAACAAAAAAAACTGCAAAATCGTCGAGTTTTTTTTTCCTTTTTAAAAAAATAGTTTACTGGCTCATTTACTGTAAAATATAGCAATGATATTTTATCAGATAGAACATGCGTTCACATTCACTTAGTTCTTATCCATATTTGTGAATGAGGGATCAACTTTTTCTCAAGAACAAAATTTATTTTATTTTTTAAAACCATTAATTTTTTTTCATTTAATTTTATATAATTTAGGTAATTTTTTTCGTAATTTATTTCGTGGTTGTTTATTATTATTTTGTTACTTTTTTCTTCTTTTTTATGGCATTTAGCTTCATTATTTTTGTGCTTTTTAAAAATACTTTACTTATTTAATAGTCTCCACCCTTTGGCAAAAAATCTAAAATTATGGAAAATTAGTAAAAATTCAAAAAACTGAATTTCTTAAAATTCAACATTTTTCCTTCTTTTTTATTGCATTTAGCTTTAATATTTTTGTGCTCTTCAAAAATAATTTACTTATTTAATAGTCTCCACCCTTTGGTAAAAAATCTAAAATTATGGAAAATTAGCAAAAATTCAAAAAACCGAATTTCTTAAAATTCAACATTTTTTCTTCTTTTTTATGGCATTTAGCTTCATTATTTTTGTGCTTTTCAAAAATACTTTACTTAATTTGTTATCTCTACCCTTTGGTAAAAAATCTAAAATTATGGAAAATTAGCAAAAATTCAAAAAACCGAATTTCTTAAAATTCAACATTTTTTCTTCTTTTTTATGGCATTTAGCTTCATTATTTTTGTGCTTTTCAAAAATACTTTACTTAATTTGTTATCTCTACCCTTTGGTAAAAAATCTAAAATTATGGAAAATTAGCAAAAATTCAAAAAACCGAATTTCTTAAAATTCAACATTTTTTCTTCTTTTTTATGGCATTTAGCTTCATTATTTTTGTGCTTTTCAAAAATACTTTACTTAATTTGTTATCTCTACCCTTTGGTAAAAAATCTAAAATTATGGAAAATTAGCAAAAATTCAAAAAACCGAATTTCTTAAAATTCAACATTTTTTCTTCTTTTTTATGGCATTTAGCTTCATTATTTTTGTGCTTTTCAAAAATACTTTACTTAATTTGTTATCTCTACCCTTTGGTAAAAAATCTAAAATTATGGAAAATTAGCAAAAATTTAAAAAACTGAATTTCTTAAAATTCAACATTTTTCCTTCTTTTTTATTGCATTTAGCTTTAATATTTTTGTGCTCTTCAAAAATAATTTACTTATTTAATAGTCTCCACCCTTTGGTAAAAAATCTAAAATTATGGAAAATTAGCAAAAATTCAAAAAACCGAATTTCTTAAAATTCAATATTTTTCCTTCTTTTTTATGGCATTTAGCTTTATTATTTTTGTGCTCTTCAAAAATAATTTACTTATTTAATAGTCTCCACCCTTTGGTAAAAAATCTAAAATTATGGAAAATTATCATAAAATATTTATTATAAAACATCTCCATTTTTAAAGTCTCTGAACTTCTTTTAATTAAAGAATACTGAATGAATTGGATCAATAATTATGAATTGCATTATTTTGACGTCAAAATCTTAATCAGAGACCTTAAAAATACTACTGAATTAAACTTGATAGTAATTAATAACAATTATAATTTTTTAGATTTTTTGATATCGAAAATATTTTTATACTTACATCTTAGTCATATCATTTTTTGTGCAAAATTATGCGAAAATGTGACTAAATAACATGTAATACTCAATTATACAGTGTTTAAAAGCAATTCATTAAACAATGTAAACTTTGTAAACTTGCGGTTTTTTTAATTATTTGAAAACTTTTTTATACTTAAATCTTAAAATTATGCTAAAATGTGACTAAATAACATGTAATACTTAATTATAGATAGTTTAAAAGCAGTCCATTAAAAAATATAAAATTTGGAAATTTGCGATTTTTTGAATTTTTCGAAATCATTTTTATACTTACATCTTAGTTATAGGACATTATTTTTGGCAAAACTATTCATTTTGTTAAATAATAATTATTAATCTATAGAAACAGAAAATTTTGCAAAAATAGGTGCAAAAAAATAAAATAAAGATAAATATAAAGATAGTTAGTAAGTATAATAATTAATTTTTAATTAATAAATATTAATCAATAGAAAAAGAAGGAAAAACGCAAAAAAAAAATAAGTGCAAAAAAAATAAAGACAAACATAAAAATAATATCAATTATCGTTTAAGTATAAATAAAGAATTATTAATCAACAAAAATAGAAAATTTTTTTTAAAAAATAAAAACAAATATAGAGATAAAGGAAAAAAATTACCGATCCATAAAGATTTTATCTATCTACAAACATGTGAACCACATTACTTAACATTCTATCTTTCCTCAAAAGCCCGTATTTATAATTTATCCCAATAAAAATGCTAGATTGCAGTTTAAAATATCATTTCCTGAATTTTCAATATGTTTTTCCGAGAAAATATAATGTACATATACGTATATATATATATATATATATTGAAGAAACAGAAACTAATTTATCGTTTTATATAGGAGGTAAGAAACTTTCAAATCGACGAAACTCAAAAGAAAAACGTTTCTCCAAGGAACAATTGACCACACAAACACACATACACATTTCTCCTATACGTCGAATTGCTTTTTCTTCCCGGGAAATTTGATGACCAATAAAACTGTCAGTAGAAAATAAAGTATATTTTTCGCGAGTTAGCGATCTAAAACCCTATAGTTTTCATTTTCATATTTTTTTCTCCAAATGTCTACATTATAGAGACATATTTTTCGCCCCATCTCTACTTCCATAAAACATTTTTTCAAAATATGTATAAAAGAATGTTCAATAAAAAAAAAAAAAAAATATTCAAGAAATTAAATTTTTATCTTGAAGGGAAAATTGTAGAATAAAATAAGATTTCTAGAATAAATTTCAATAAAACATTCTAATTCATATTTATAACTTAACCATCCATTTTTTTAAAATTAAAAGTCACTTAAGTCTCTAATCGAGTCTCTAAATTTAAATTAGTAAAATTTTTCTAATTCGTTTGGTGGTTCTAATTTTTTTTCCTACTAAACCTAAAGTGAAAAATTGACCTAAAATAAAATTTAAGGTGTAAAGTGTATTTTTCTCAGACACAAGAAAATATTTATACAAACTTTATAATAAAATAAAAAAAAATAAGGAAAAAACTAAAAAATAAGTTATTCTTAAACAAGCAAACTTCAATCAAGCTAAATTTAGGTATTTGAACTTTTTAATTAGATAATAAGGAAACATCATTCGATCCCAAAAGCTCAAGAAACTCCCTTGAATCTAAAGTATGCGCGAGTCTCCCTGCTTTCATCCCGAAACTAAAAATAGACTTTAGGGGATGAAAATGAAAAGACTTTTTCTCATGTATTCTTGACGATATATCGTTCAGAACAAAACATAAGTTTGTTGCTCGTATATT